CCCCCGAGGCCAGCTTTCCTGGCAAGCCAGCGGGTCCCCTGGGCTGGCCCTGCCCAGGCTTGGCTGGCCCTGACTGGCTCGGCGCCCCGTGGGCTGGCTGGAGTTGCCCCAGGGGGGAGCCAGGAGGTGTGGGGTGCTGCTGCCCCCTCTTGGAAAGAGGCTGCTGAGAGCCTGGGGGAGCCCCAGGGCCCTTCTGGGGGACCCTTCTTACTACTGATCTCCCAAGCAGTCCAAGGAAGAGGGAAGGGCGGAAGCCGCTCCTAAAGGCCCACAACCCAGGGAGCCCCCACCAGCAAGGCCACCTGCAGAGTGGGGGGGCTTCTCAGGGAAGGGAGGGGGGGTTGCAGGCAAGGGGGCCTTAGAGGACCAGCTCCTTTGAATCATGCTGGGGACAGCGCAGTTAGTGCAGAGGGTCCAGCTGCCTCAGCCCCATCGGCCTTCGGGGGCTTGTGCCCTCCGGGCGCCTCCTGCCTCTTCACAGCAGCCCAGGTAGAGCTCAGGAGGTCAGGCAGGGTAGGTCAGAGGGGACAGCAGGTGCACCCTGGCCAGCCCTTGTGGCCCCCTGAGCTCCACTGCTTGGTGCCTCCTCCCCTGTCCATCAAGGAGGGTGCAGCTTTGCCCGGGCGCCTCTTGCAGAGAGGGCTGTCTTGGCGATCCCTGCGGCCGGTGGGGGTGGAGGGAGTGCAGCCCCTCCCCTTTGGGGCCACAGGCTGGTCAGCTCGGAGGTTGCCCAGGGGAGATCTTGAGAGACTGACGTTCTGTTGGACTCCCCCCAACAAGACGTCTCCTTCGCAGTTCCGGACGATGCCCCCCGAGGATTACCGGCAGACGCTGCGCAGCTTGGAGACTCACTACCAGGACTTCCTGCGCGACAGCCAGGACTCCCAGAACTTCCATCCGGACGACCGGCTGCAGGTGGAGCGCGATTACACCATCTGCACCCAGAAGTACGAGATGCTGCTGCGTGCGCTGGAGAAAGGTAAGGCCTGGGGCCCCTGGCAAGCCTTGGGCCTGCACTGTGGTTTCAGGTCAGGCCTCTCCCCGGGGCCCCCTGGGTGGCCTTGGCAGCCCGTCCTTGCTCCCCTCTGGACGGAGGTGCAGCCAGCGGCGCTGCCGGTGTCCGTTAACCCCAGGCTTGGTTTGTGGGGTGACAGGGGAACAGGAGGAGTCGCTGTGCAGGAACTTCATCTCCCAGCTGAAGGACATCCGCCTGCAGCTGGAAGGCTGCGAATCCCGCACCATCCACAAAATCCGCTCTCCGCTTGACCAAGACCCCGTAAAGGAATGTGCGCAGCGCATCAGCGACCAGCAGGTATGGCTTCTCTTGCCTTGAGAGAAGCTGCCCGTCTCTTCTGGACTCTCCCCTGGGGCACAGGAGGAGACTCTTGTCCTGCCCCAGACCCAGTCCGGGGAGGGGGAAGCAGAGGCTGCCCTGCTGTGGCCACGGAGCTGCTTCCCACCTTGAAACGGGAGAGGGACGCTCTCCTTTCCTCAGGAGAAGGGGCTGCGGCCCGTCCTCGGGGCTTCCTGGCCTGGGTCCCTGACGTGCCTCCCCTCCCGTCCCCTCAGGAGATCCACCTGGAGCTGGAAAACCTCCAGAAGAACCTGGGCAAAGTGAGTGCCCAGACAGAGCAGGTCCTGGCTCAGCCAGAGCAGGCCGGTTCGGCCCCCCTGCTGCACTCCGAACTGGATATCACGCTGCAGAAGATGGGCCAGGTGTACAGCCTCTCCAGCATTTTCTTGGAGAAGTAGGTGGTTCTTAACACTGGCCTAATCCTGCCCGGCCCTGGGGACAGAGGGAGGGAGGGAGGGAGGCGGGTTTGGCCACCCGTGTTCCTATTCCAAGGCCCAGCAGCAGCGACTGGGAGAGCCTAGCAGGGGAGTCCTGGAGACCCCTGACCCACCTCCCAGAGGCGCCCTCCTGGGGTAACTCTCATCGGGGGGCCCAGCCCTCTGCCCCAGGGGACAGGTGTGCACTTTGGGTGAGCGGCTTGTTCCCTTCAGCCTTCTGTGTCTCTCGCAGCACAGGGCCTTTGCGGTAAGCACCCTCCAGGTTAGAGGCGGCTCTTCCTGAGTCTCCGCGTCCTTTCGACATCCAGCGAACTCAAGATTTTTAAGTGGCCATTTTGATGTTTCTGCTCCTCACTGTTTTTTAAAGATGAAGTGGGCTAATTCTTCTATGCCTTGGAGGCCAAACGTTGCTCAGCAAACTTTGGTTTATAGCCACCTCCAGACCCCTGGCGTAACTGCACCCCCGGTTAACAGAATAGCAGAGTTGGAAGGCACCTTGGAGGTCTTCTAGTCCAGGCAGGAGACCCCCTACCATTCTGGACAAGTGGCTGTCCAGTCTCTTCCTCAAAGCCGCCAATGTTGGAGCATCCACAACTTTTGAAGGCAACATGTTCCACTGGTTAAATTGTTCTGACTGGCAGGAAGTTTCTCCTTAATTCCGGGTTGCTTCTTGATTAGTTTCCCTCCATTGTTCTTGTCCTGCCTTCCAATGCTTTGACCCCTCTTCTTTGGGGCAGCCCCATAAATATTGGAAGACTGCTATCATGTCCTTCTCTTCCCTCGAGTAGCCAGGCCCAGATCCTGCAACCGCTCTTTATATGTTTTGGCCTCCAGTCCCCTCATCATCCTGGTTGCTCTTCTCTGCGCGCTTTCCAGAGTCTCAACAACTTTTTTATAATATGGTGACCAAAATGGGATGTGGTACTCTAGGTGTGGCTTTACTAGGGCTTTATCAAGTGGTATTAGTACTTAACATTCAGTTAAGTAATAATTAAGTACTTAAAGTAACTAACTAACATTTAAAGAAAGTAACTAACATTCGGTTAAGAGCCTCGGTGTCACAGTGGTGAGAGTGCTGTACTGCAGGCCACTTCTGCTGACTGTCGGCTGCCTGCAATTTGGCAGTTCAAATCCCGCCAGGCTCCAGGTTGACTCAGCCTTCCATCCTTCTGAGGTGGGTAAAATGAGGACCCCGATTGTTGGGGGCAAGAGGCTGGCTCTGTAGAACCGCTTAGAGAGGGCTGGAAAGCACGGTGAAGCAGCATGTAAGTCTTAAGCGCTATTGCTATTGCTAACATGATCTTGATTGTATTCCTCTGTTAATGCAACCTAGGATTGCATTGGCTCTTTGGGCTGCTGGCTCACATTTAGGTGATTGCCCACTTGGACTCCAAGATCCCTCTGGCAGTTAGTGCTGTTGAGCCAGGTTTCATCTAACCTGCACCTGTGCATTCTGTTTTCCTCGCCCAAGTATAAAACCTTCTTTTTCTCTACACTGAACGCTGTTGTGTTGAATGGGTGCCTTGTCCAGCTGCCGTGTCTGAGTCGATCCACCTCTCCTGCAGGTTGAAGACCATCAACCTGGTCATCCGTAGCACCCAAGGGGCCGAGGGGCTGGTCCAGGGCTACGAGGAGCAGCTCAAAGATGTCCAAACTGTGCCGTCTGACCTCAAGGCTGTTGAGGCCACCAAGGCAGAGCTCAAGGTGACCGGCCGGACCCACACCTGCCAGGGGGAGAGACCTTTGGGCCGCCTGTGGCTCGCAAGGGCTCGTGCCACCCTGACCCCCCACTCTCCCAACATTTCTGTCCTGCAGAGGCTGCGTGGGCAGGTCGAGGGGCACCAGCCGGTCTTCAGTGCCCTGGAAGCGGACCTGGCCACGGCCAGCGAGGTGAATGAGCGGATGGTGAGAGGCCACAGCGAGAGGGATCTGGACTTGGACCGCTACCGGGATCGTGTGCAGCAGCTCCTCGACCGCTGGCAGGCTATCCTGGCCCAGATTGACCTGCGGCAGCGGGAACTGGACCAGCTGGGACGCCAGCTGCGCTACTACCGCAATAGCTACAGCTGGCTGATGGAATGGATCCAGGATGCCCGCCAGCGCCAGGAGGGCCTCCAGGCCGTGCCCATCACCAGCAGCCAGCAGGTGCGGGAGCAGCTGCTGCAAGAGAAGGTGAGCTCGGCCGAGAGGAGGCAGGGCCTGGCTGGGGGGACGTCGGAGGCCCCCTTGAGGCCCAGCTGTGGGAGGGCTGGCAAGGCGGAGAGGGGACCGGGGGGGGGGGGGGGGGGAGGGGTCCCATCGCATCAGGCCTGGGCCTGGCTAGCATTTGCCAAGGGAGGGGTAACCTGAGTGCAGCCTACCAAGAGGTTTCAATTATTGTGTGTAGCTGAAGGATTTATGCCGTTTAACAAACAAATGGCCTGAATTTTGCAGCCGTACCTACCTGAGAAGGGGGAGCGATGGGGCTTCCCAACAGTCGGGTTCCTTGGATCAGAGAGCCGCTCCTCCTTCTGGCCGAGAGTGTGAAGGCCCCCCACCCCCCACCCCCGCCTTGTCTCTGGCCCTAGAGCTTCCCTGCGACCCTACTAGCTGCTTGGGGGGGGGGCAGCTGTTGCCTGTTCCTCCGGGACCCCCCTGTGCAGAACTTCCCTCCGAGGAGGCCCTCCTTGTGCCCCCCCCCTGTGCTGTGGGCCTTGGGGGGGGGGCGCTTACTCCTTCTGCCTCTCCTTCCCCAGAAACTCCTGGAAGAGTGTGAGCAGAACCGGGAGAAGGTGGAGGAGAGCCACCGCTTGGCCAAACAGTACATCGATGCCATCAAGGTGTGTGGCAGGGAGGCGGGCCTGCTGGAGGGGCCGGCTCTGCAGGCTCCCCCGCCTGGGCTCGGGGGGTTCCAGCAGCAGCCCAACCCCTCTTTCCTTTGAAGGACTATGAGCTTCAGCTGGTCACCTACAAAGCCCAGGTGGAGCCCGTCTCGTCTCCTGCCAAGAAGCCCAAAGTCCAGTCTGCCTCGGACAGCATCATCCAGGAGGTGAGAGGGGGCCCTGGGGAGGGCCCTGGGAGCAGGGACAGAGGTTCTAGAAGGAAAGCATTTTCCCGCCATCGTAGCCCGATGGGGAGCTCCTGGTCACAGCTGGGGGCCTTGCTCGGGGGCGGCAGCAGCTTCCCTTGAGATGGGGGTGCTGCAGAGAAGGGGAGCAGCCGAGCTGCTGCGGTGGTGCCAGCTGCCCCTGCCTGCCAACTTTGCCCGAGGATGCTTGGGAGGAAGAGGCCATTAAGGCTGCTCTGACCACCACCACCCCTTTGGCCTTGCAGTATGTTGACCTGAGGACTCGATATAGCGAGCTGACCACACTGACCAGCCAGTATATCAGGTTCATTACAGAGACTCTTCGGCGGCTGGAGGAAGAGGAGGTAAGGGATCTGGGGTGGGCCCAGCATGGCTTGGCTGCCTCTGGATGGACTGGGTGGGGGGCTGCTCCCTCTTGCAGGCTGTTCCGCTTCCCTGACCCTCCCCTGGCAGTCTGTGGCCCCACACGGGAGCCTGGCTGCGTGGGCATCACCGCCCTGCAGGAAGATTGCCTGCTGTGCTTGCTCTCCCTCCTGCTCTGTCTGGGGCTGCTCCTGCCCCCCCCCCCGCCCCCGGCCCCCTTTTCCTTGGATTTGCTGTGCTCCCCTTTCTAACTCTTGGTTTCTGCCCTTTGGAAGCCAAAAGCTATTTTGCCTGGCTTGCTGGGGGCAGGTTGGTGTTGGTGGGGCTCTAAGGAAGGGTTAACCTCCAGAGGAGGCAGCAACAGCCGCAGCCGCACCTTTGGCACCAGGTACTCCTTCCATCTGCATGTTCTCCCATCTTTGCGCACTCCTCCCCACCGGTGGCCCTGCACTGATCATGCGGCTTGGGGGGGGGGAGTGGAGGGCTCACTGGGTGAGAGGGAAGGATGAGGAGGCGCTGGGGGGGGAGGTCTTCTGCTGGGTCACCTCAATCTGCCCGCCTGTAAGGTCTCCAGCCCGCTTGGTGTGCTGCCTGGCCTGGATACGTGTGAATGGTCATCTGCCTCCCCTACAGACTCCTTGGAGGGAGGGGGTTGGTCTTGTGTGCTGAGGACGGGGGAGCGGGGTGTTGTGACGGTTGCTCTTGTTGTGAGGTGACTGCGCTCACGTGTCCCTGGGCTGGATCACCCCCAACCCCTGAGCTTTCGGACTCCCGGTCTGCTGGACGTTCTGCTGCGTGGTGGCAGCGCATTGCGCATGGTGGAGGTGTGCTCTTGTGGCTCATTGGTCTTGGGTTTGCTTGTCTCTGGTGCCCATCCGTCCGTTGGTGCTTCTCAGTATGTGGGTCTGCCTGCTTCCTTGCCTGCTGCCCCTTGCCCCCTTCCCAAAGACCAGCCCTCCCATCTGCTCTTGTGATCTTTCTCTCTCTCCCCCTCCCCTCCTCTCTGCCCCTCCCCATAGAAAGCAGCGGAGCAGCTGAAGGAGGCAGAGAGGAAGCGCTTGGCGGAGGTGGAGGCCCAGCTGCAGAAGCAGAGGCAGCTGGCCGAGGCCCACGCCAAGGCCAAGGCTCAGGCTGAGGAGGAGGCCAAGGAGTTGCAGCAGCGCATGCAGGAGGAGGTCAGCCGGCGGCAGCTAGCAGCTGTGGACGCCGAGCAGCAGAAGCAGAACATCCAGGAGGAGCTGCTGCAAATGAAGCTCAGCTCCGACAGGCAGATCTTGACCAAGCAGAAGCTGATCGAGGAGGTGGAGATCAGCCGCAGGAAGGTGGAAGAGGAGATCCATATCATTCGCTTGCAGCTGGAAGCCACGCAGAAACAGAAGGCCGGGGCGGAAGGGGAGCTGCAGGCTCTCAGGGCCCGGGCGGAGGAAGCTGAGCTCCAGAAGAAAGCCGCCCAGGAGGAGGCTGAGCGCCTGCGCAGGCAGGTCAAGGACGAGGCCCAAAAGAAGCGAGAGGCAGAGGAGCAGCTACAGGAGAAGGTGCAGGCGGAGCAGCGAGCAGCGCAGGAGAAGCAGAAGGCCATGAAAGACCTGCAGCAGCTCCGTGCACAGGCCGAGGAGGCTGAGCGCCGGATGAAGCAGGCGGAGCTGGAGAAAGAACGGCAGATCCAGGTTGCGCGGGAGGTAGCCCAGAAGAGTGCTGAGGCAGACATGCATAGCCGGCGCCTCTCCTTTGCCGAGAAGACAGCCCAGATGGAGCTGACCCTGAAGCAGGAGCATGTCACCCTCACCTACCTGCAGGAGGAGGCCGAGCGCCTGAGGACACAGCAGTTGGAAGCTGAGCGGGCCAAGGAGGAGGCCGAGAAGGAGCTGGAAAAATGGCAGCAGAAGGCCAATGAGGCACTCCGGCTGCGGCTGCAAGCAGAGGAGGTGGCACACAAGAAGTCCCTGGCCCAGGAGGAGGCAGAGAAGCAGAAGGAGGATGCCGAGCGTGAAGCCCGGAAACGGACCAAGGCAGAGGAGTCGGCCCTGCGCCAGAAGGAGCTGGCTGAGGAGGAGCTGGAGAAGCAGCGCAGGCTGGCCGAAGGCACAGCCCAGCAGAAGTTCCTAGCTGAGCAGGAACTGATCCGCCTGAAGTCAGAGATGGAGAACGGGGAGCAGCAGCGGCTGCTGCTGGAAGAAGAGCTCTTCCGCCTCAAGAGTGAGGTCAGTGAGGCCGTCCAGAAGCGTAAGGAGCTGGAGGAGGAGCTGGCCAAACTGCGGGCTGAAATGGAGCTTCTGCTGAAAAGCAAGGCCAGGACCGAGGCGGAGTCACTCTCCGCTAGCGAGAAGACCAAGCAGATCTTGGAGGATGAAGCCTCTAAGCTGCGGGAGCTGGCAGAGGAGGCGGGCCGCCTGCGCATCCTCTCTGAGGAAGCCAAGAGGCAACGGCAGCTGGCCGAGGAGGAGGCTGTTCGGCAGAGAGCAGAGGCTGAGCGGATCCTCAAAGAGAAACTGGCGGCCATCAATGAGGCGTCACGCCTCAAGGCAGAAGCGGAAATTTCCCTGAAGGAGAAGGAGGCTGAGAACGAGCGCCTGAGGCGGCTAGCAGAGGACGAGGCTTACCAGCGGAGGGTCCTGGAAGAACAGGCAGCCCAGCACAAGCACAACATAGAGGAGAAGATTGCGCAGCTGAAGAAGTCCTCCGAGAGTGAGCTAGAGAGGCAGAAGACCGTCGTCAACGAAACCCTAAGGCAGCGGCGCATCATTGAGGAGGAAATTCGCATCCTCAAGATCAACTTTGAGAAAGCCTCCGTGGGCAAGACAGACCTGGAACTGGAGCTCAGCAAGATCAGACAGAGCGCAGAGGAGATTCAGCGGAGCAAAGAGCTAGCGGAACAAGAGGGTGAGAAGCTGCGCCAGGTGGCCCTGGAAGAGGAGAACCGCCGCAAAGAGGCTGAAGCGAAACTCCAGAAGACCCTGGCTGCTGAGCAGGAAGCTGCCAGACAGCGCAAAGCCGCTCTAGAAGAGGTAGAGCGCCTGAAGGCCAAGGTGGAGGAAGCCAAGAAGCAGAAGGAGTTGGCGGAAAGCCAGTCGAAGAAACAGATCCTGCTGGCCCAGGAGGCGGCCCAGAAGAAGATCGCTGCTGAAGAGGCTGCTCACCTGGCCGCCGTGCACCAGAAGGAGAAGGAGTTGCTGCAGACCAGACAGCAGGAGCAGTCCATCCTGGACAGGCTGAAGGAGGAGGCCGAGAAAGCCAAGAGAGCAGCCGAGGAAGCAGAATTTGCCCGCCTCAAGGCAGAGCAAGAGGCCACCTTGTCCCGGCAGCTGGTGGATGAGGCTGAGCGCATGAAGCAACGAGCTGAGGAGGAGGCCCAAGTCAAAGCCAGGGCCCAGGAGGATGCGGAGAAGCTCCGCAAGGAGGCAGAGCTGGAGGCAGCCAGGCGAGCCCAGGCGGAACAGGCAGCCCTCAAGCAGAAGCAGGCGGCCGACATGGAGATGGAGAAGCACAAAAAGTTTGCAGAGAAGACATTGCGGCAAAAGGCCCAGGTGGAGCAGGAGCTGACCAAGGTCAAGCTGCAACTGGAGGAGACAGACCATCAGAAGAGCCTTTTGGAGGAGGAGCAGCAGCGGCTGAAGGAGGAGGTGACCGAAGCCATGAAGCAGAAGGTCCAAGCGGAGGAGGAGCTGTTCAAGGTGAAGGTTCAAATGGAGGAGCTGATCAAGTTGAAAATCCGCATCGAGGAGGAGAACAAGTTGCTCATCATGAAGGACAAGGACAACATGCAGAAGATCCTCACTGAGGAAGCCGAGAAGATGAAGCAGGTGGCAGAGGAAGCTGCCCGGTTGAGCGTGGAAGCCCAGGAGGCCGCCCGCATGCGCAAGCTGGCAGAGGAGGATCTGGCCCAGCAGCGGGCGCTGGCAGAAAAGATCCTGAGAGAAAAGATGCAGGCCATCCAGGAAGCCACCCAGCTGAAGGCCGAGGCCGAGGTGCTGCAGAAGCAGAAGGACCTGGCTCAGGAGCACGCCCGGAAACTGCAGGAGGACAAGGAGCAGATCCGGCTGCAGCTGGAGGAGGAGACGGAGGGCTTCCAGAAGACACTGGAGGCCGAACGCAAGCGGCAGTTGCAGATCACTGCTGAGGCCGAGCGGCTAAAGCTGCAAGTCACGGAGCTGAGCCTGTCCCAGGCGAAGGCGGAGGAAGAGGCCAGGCGGTTCAGGAAGCAGGCTGAGGAGATCAGCGGGAAGCTGCACCAGATGGAGCTGTCCACTCAAGAGAAGGTGACCCTGGTGCAGACCCTGGAGATCCAGAGGCAGCAAAGCGACCAAGACGCCAACAGGCTGAGAAAGGCTATAGCTGAGATGGAGATGGAGAAAGAGAAGCTGAAGCGGGAAGCCCAGCTGCTGCAGCAGAAGGCAGAAGAGGTACCTGCTCTGGTTGTGGCTCCCCACATATTCCCCCACCCCCAGGTTGAGCAATGCCCATCAGCCCCAGCCAGTCGATTAGTCCACAGCCTCCTGGCAGAGGAGGCTTCAGGCAGGAGGGAGGGGTGCCACTCCACGGGATGGATAACAGTGCAGATGCAGTGGACCACCCCACCCCCACCCCACCCCTGTTGCCACAAGCACCTGCCCTACTGCAGGATCCAGGCTGTGTGTTTGTGTGAGCATCAACCGGTCTCACTCAATAGCCTTGGGGAGGAGAGGAGGAGGAGATGTTGTTGCTTCCCTGGTAGAGACGTTCCCTGCTGCTCGCAGGTCAGTACTAATGACCGAGTGTCCTCTGCTTGTTAGATGACTGTCTTGGTAAGTTGTACTTTAGGAAGTGGCTGGTTGTGTACTCTCACAGCTGAGATGGCACATCATTTCTGAAGGGAATCCTCTTTGCATCAAGAAAGCAAAGGAGGACGTTAGGTGAATTGATTTTGTGTACTGTTGAACTAGAGCGTGCAAACCACAGAGGCTAATCTGGAGTCTCCCTGTTTCAACAACTGCTTGTTACTGTTTCGGTCAGAGTCTGCTTGAATTTTGGCAGAAGTGGGAATGGCAAGTGAGAAGAGGGAGGGCGGGAAGGCAGCTGAGGGGGTGGAGTGTTGCCTCATCAACTGGTGATGCCCTCCTGGGATTGGTCTGGCGAGGCTCCCATGGCACCTGTTGGGAGGGTTCCTCGGGGAGGGGCTTCCAAAGATCTCTGCCGCAAGCGGTGCCTCCCCCCGGGCAGAAAGGACAAAGCTCTCTTTCAAGTGTGGAAGGTGACCCCACACAGGTGGCAGCAGCCGGCCCATTAAGGGTGGTTGTGCAAAGGCATAAGAGGGATTTCTTGCTCTGAGACTCCAAACAGAAGGAGTTCTATGAACTGGCCATGGACTTGGGAACAGGTCACCGAACCCACTCCTCATTTCACCAGTTTTCTCCTTTGGGAAAGCTCCTTTCGGACTCAGTCCATAGAGAGTCCCTCTGATGCCCAAAGAACAGGGCAGTGTTTCATAAATGATATGAAAACGGCCCCATCTCCCTTCTTCTGCTTCCGTGACATTGGTACAACAGGTACTTCTTCCCTGGAGATTTATTTCCTTCTGTAGTGGCCTGACAGGTTGCCAGTGATGCCACTGACACCTCCCTTTTACATGACTCTCCCCCCCTTTCTCCTCCTTTGCTATCTGGCTGATTTGGCACTTTGTTTTCTTCCCAATGCAGATGCAGACTGCACAGAAGGAGCAGCTCCGCCAGGAGACGCAGTTGCTTCAGCAGACCTTCCTGTCAGAGAAGGACGTCCTCCTGCAAAAGGAGAGATTTGTGGAGGAGGAAAAGGCCAAGCTGGAGAACCTCTTCCAGGAGGAGGTCAAGAAAGCTCAAAGCCTGAAGGCTGAGCAGGAACATCAGCAGAAGCAGATGGAGCAGGAGAAGGAGCAGCTGGAAGCCACCCTCAGGGATGCCCGGGAGAAGCAGGCTGAAGCGGAGAAGAGTGTCCGTCGCAAGCAGGAGGAGCTCCAGCAGTTGGAGAAGCAGCGTCAGCAGCAGGAGAAGCTTCTAGCTGAGGAAAACCAAAAGCTCCGGGAGAAACTGAGGCAGCTGCAGGAGGAGCAACAGGCTGCTCTTGCTCAGACCCGAGAAATCATGATCCAGACTGATGACTTTCCTCAGGAGGTGGCCGTGTCCACAGTAACGGCTCTGCCTAACGGCCAAGACATGCTTGACGGTGTCTCTCAAAATGGTGAACCCGAGTTGGCATTCGATGGCATCCGACAGAAGGTTCCTGCCAAGAAACTGGCAGAGGCTGGCATCCTGAGCCCAGAAACCTGGGAGAACCTGGTGCACGGGAGAGTGTCTGTGCAGGAGCTGTCCCAGATGCAGGAGATCAGGAAGTACCTGCAAGGCAGCAGCAGTAGCATCGCGGGGCTCCTGATCAAGCCCACCAATGAGAAGATGAGCATCTACCAGGCCATGAAGCAGCAGATCCTCAGCCCGGGCACTGCCCTCATCCTGCTGGAAGCACAGGCCGCTTCCGGCTTCATGATAGACCCCCTGAGGAACAAGAGGATCTCTGTCAGTGAGGCAGTAAAGGAAGGCGTGGTTGGACCTGAGCTGCACAATAAGTTGCTATCTGCTGAGAGGGCGGTGACTGGATACAAGGATCCCTACACAGGTGAAAAGATCTCCCTCTTCCAGGCAATGACTAAAGACCTCATCGTTAAGGACCATGGGATTCGGCTCCTGGAGGCCCAGATTGCCACCGGCGGCATCATCGACCCTGTCAACAGCCACCGCCTACCTGTGGACATCGCATTCAAGCGAGGCTATTTTGATCAGGAGATGCAACAGGTCCTCTCGGACCCCACAGATGACACCAAGGGCTTCTTTGACCCCAATACCCAGGAGAACCTGACTTACCTGCAGCTGATGGAAAGGTGCGTGACTGATCCCGAGACCGGGCTAATCTTCCTGCCACTGACAGACAAAGCAGCCAGAGGACAGGAGCTGGTCTGTACCGATCAGGAGGCCAAGGACGTGTTCAGGAAAGCCACCGTCTCTCCTCCCTTTGGCAGATTCCAGGGAAAGACCGTCACCATCTGGGAGATCATCAACTCCGAGTATTTCACTGAGGAGCAGAAGCGGGAGCTCCTGTGCCAGTACAAGACTGGAAAGATCACTGTGGAGAAGATAATTAAGATCATAATTACAGTTGTCGAAGAGAGTGAGAAGAAAAGCCAACTCTGCTTTGAAGGACTCCGGGCAGCAGTACCGGCAGCTGAGTTGCTGGAGAGCAAAATCCTCAACAAAGAACTCTACGATCAGCTGCACCAAGGGAAGAAGACCGTGAAGGAGGTAGCCAATATGGATGCCATAAAAAGGTACCTGGAAGGTACTGGCACCATTGCGGGCATCTTGGTAGAGTCAACGGGTCAAAAGTTACTTCTTGCAGATGCAATGAAAAGAAACCTGCTGAAACCCGAGGCGGCCCTGATCCTTCTGGAAGCCCAGGCTGGAACCGGGCATGTCATTGACCCCGTGAGGAATGAGAAGCTTCCTGTGGATGAAGCAGTCCGAGCAGGAATAGTGGGCCCTGAGCTTCACGAGAAGCTGCTCTCTGCAGAGAGGGCTGTAATCGGCTATAAGGATCCCTACATGGGGCAGGTAGTCTCCGTTTTCCAAGCGCTGAAGAAAGATCTCATTCCTAAGGACACGGGGCTCCGGATCCTAGATGCTCAGCTTGCCACTGGAGGCATCATTGATCCTGTGCACAGCCATCGCCTCCCTCTTGAAGTTGCCTGCCAACAGGGCTATTTCAGCAAAGAAATGAACAAGGCCTTGTCTGATCCGGCTGACGAGGTCAAGCTGTACTATGACCCCAATGCCCAAGAAAACCTCACTTACGCTCAGCTGCTGGACAGGTGCCAAGTGGATAAGCAGACAGGCCTCCATCTGCTCTGCCTTTCAGATGAGGCCATACGGCGTCATCAGGAGGAGCTCTACTCAGACAGTGCCCTCAAAGAATCCTTTGATAAGGCCACCGTTGAAGTGCCCGCTGGCAGCCAAAAGGGCAAGACAGTGACGGTCTGGGAGCTGATCCACTCAGAATATCTGACTGAAGAGCAGAGAAGAGAGCTGATACGGCAGTTCAAGACTGGCAAAGTCACAATTGAGAAGGTCATTAAGATAATTATCACAATAGTTGAAGAGAGCGAGGCCAAAAAACAAGAAAAATTGACCTTCAGTGGCCTGCGAGCACCAGTGCCTGCTAGTGAACTGCTTGAGTCCAAGGTCATCAGCAAGCAGCAGTACGAACAGCTCAAGTCAGGAAAGAAGGCAGTGAAGGACATCACCGAAGTGGATGCGGTGAAGAGATACCTGAAAGGGAGTGGCTGCATTGCCGGGATCTATATCGAAAAAAGCAAGGAGAAGCTGAACATTTACCAGGCGCTGAGGAAGAATCTGCTCCTGCCCAGCACAGCAATTGTCCTCCTGGAGGCCCAGGCAGCCACCGGGTTTATGGTGGACTCAGTAAGGAACCAGAGGTTGCACGTCAATGAAGCGGTGAAAGCTGGCCTTGTGGGACCAGAGCTACATGAAAAGTTGCTCTCTGCTGAGAAGGCCGTCACTGGCTACAGAGACCCCTATTCTGGGAATACCATCTCCCTCTTTGAGGCTATGAAAAAGGGGCTGATTGTCCGGGAGCATGCTGTCCGCCTGCTGGAGGCCCAGATTGCCACAGGGGGCATTATAGATCCCGTGCACAGCCACCGTGTCCCTGTGGAGGTGGCCTACAAGCGAGGCTACTTCGATGAAGAGATCAACCAGACTCTCTCCAATCCATCAGATGATACCCGGGGCTTCATTGACCCCAACACCCAGGAGAATCTTACCTACTTGCAGCTGAAAGAGAGATGCTTTGAGGATCCCGAGACGGGCCTTTGTCTCCTACCTTTGAAGCAGCCTGAACGGCCAGCAGTGGTGGAGAGAACTCAAGTGTACACTGAGGCAGAAACCAAGAAGATGTTTGAAGAAACCCAAATTGACATTCCAACAGGAGAGCTTGCTGGCTCCTCCATGTCCCTCTGGGAAATTATGAACTCTAATCTGCTCCCTGAAGAGCAACGTAAAAAATTGATGGAAGAGTTCCGTTTAGGTAACCTGACGAAGGAACGCATGATCATCATCATCATTGAGATTATAGAAAAAACCGAGATTGTCCACCAGCAAGACGTCACCTCCTATGACTACATTAGACGCCGCATCACTGCCGAAGACCTCTACGAGGCCAGGATAATCTCTCTGGAGGTATTTAATGCGTTGAAGCAGGGCTCCAAGACCATCCGGGAGATTCTAGAGATAGAGACCACCTGGAAATACCTCTATGGGACCGGCTGTATTGCTGGCATCCACATTCCCTCCAGCAAGCAGAAGCTCAGCATCTACCAGGCCCTCAAAAAGGGACTGATTAGCCCTGAAGTTGCTCGGTCCTTGCTGGAAGCCCAGGCTGCCACCGGCTTCATTATTGATCCTATGAAGAACGACAGACTTACGGTAGATGAGGCAGTGAGAAAAGGGGTGGTGGGCCCAGAAATGCACGATCGACTTCTATCTGCCGAAAGAGCTGTGACAGGCTATCGAGATCCTTACAGCGAGCAGAAAATCTCTCTCTTCCAAGCCATGAAGAAGGACCTCATCCCATCTGAAGAAGCCCTCAGATTGCTAGATGCCCAGTTGGCCACAGGAGGGATTATAGACCCATACCTGGGCTTTCACTTGCCCTTAGAGATTGCCTACCAACGTGGCTACTTCAACCGGGAGACCTTTGACAGACTTTCTGAGCCCAGTGAGATCCGCAGCTACATAGACCCCTCCACAGATGAAAAGCTCAGCTACGCTCAGATCCTCAAACGGTGTAAGAAGGATGAGAACACAGGCTGCCTCCTGCTATCCCTCTGTGACACTCGGAAGCTGACTTTCAGGGGGCTGAGGAAGCAAATCACAGTGGAGGAGTTGGTACGATCCAAAGTCATGGACGAAGCCACTGCCCAGCGACTCCAGGAAGGCCTAACCTCAGTGGAGGAAGTCTCTAAAAAGTTGCAGCAGTTCTTAGAGGGCACCAGCTGTATTGCTGGAGTCTACATGGACTCAACTAAGGAAAGGCTGTCTGTATATCAAGCCATGAAGAAAGGCATTCTCCGGCCAGGGACAGCTTTTGAGCTTCTGGAGGCCCAGGCGGCCACCGGCTATGTCATTGACCCCATCAAGGGTCTCAAGCTGACCGTGGAGGAGGCAGTGCGCATGGGCATTGTAGGCCCCGAGTTCAAAGACAAGTTGCTCTCAGCCGAGCGGGCAGTGATAGGTTACAAGGACCCTTACTCGGGCAAGATAATATCCCTTTTCCAAGCCATGAAGAAAGGGCTGATCCTGAAAGATCATGGGATCCGTTTGCTAGAAGCTCAAATTGCTACAGGAGGCATTATTGATCCCGAGGAGAGCCACCGCTTGCCGGTTGAAGTGGCGTACAAGAGAGGCCTTTTTGATGAGGAAATGAATGAAATCCTGCTGGACCCAAGTGATGACACCAAGGGCTTCTTTGATCCGAACACCGAGGAAAACCTGACTTACCTGCAGCTGATGGAAAGGTGCATCACGGACCCCGAGACTGGGCTGTGCCTGCTGCCGCTGAAAGAGAAGAAGCGGGAGAGGAAGACCTCCTCCAAGTCCTCTGTCCGCAAGCGCCGGGTGGTGATCGTGGACCCCGAGACCGGGAAGGAAATGTCTGTGTATGAAGCCTACCGCAAAGGCCTCATTGACCACCAGACATACCTGGAGCTCTCGGAACAAGAATGTGAATGGGAGGAAATCACCATCTCCTCCTCTGATGGGGTGGTCAAGTCCATGATCATTGACCGGAGATCAGGACGGCAGTACGACATAGATGATGCCCTGGCCAAAGGCCTGATCGATCAGTCCGCCCTGGACCAATATCGCTCAGGGACCTTGTCCATTACGGAGTTTGCAGACATGTTGTCTGGCAATGTAAGTGGATTCCGATCCAGGTCTTCCTCTGTGGGCTCCTCCTCTTCCTATTCCGTAAGTCCTGCTCATGCCAGACCCCAGCTGACCTCTTGGAGCGATCCCGACGAAGAGACTGGCCCAATTGCTGGCATCTTGGACACAGATACTCTGGAAAAAGTATCCATTACGGAAGCCATGCGCCGCAACCTGGTGGATAACATTACAGGCCAGAGGCTGCTGGAGGCCCAGGCCTGCACAGGTGGGATCATTGACCCGGGTTCAGGGGAGAGGTTCCCTGTTGCCGATGCTGTTAATAAGAGCCTGGTGGACAAGATCATGGTAGACAGAATCAACCTTGCTCAAAAGGCTTTCTACGGCTTTGAGGATCCAAGGACCAAGACCAAGATGTCTGCTGCCCAAGCCTTAAAGAAGGGCTGGCTGTACTATGAGGCTGGCCAGCGGTTCCTGGAAGTCCAGTACCTGACCGGTGGGCTGATTGAGCCGGAGGTGCCTGGACGGGTCTCGCTTGATGAGGCCTTGCAGAAGAACACCATCGATGCACGCACCGCCCAGAAACTTCGGGATGTCAACACTTACTCCAAGTACTTGACCTGTCCCAAAACCAAGCTGAAGATCTCCTACAAGGATGCCATGGACAGGAGCATGACTGAAGAAGGGACAGGCCTCCATCTTCTGGAAGCCTCCTCACAATCCAGCAAAGGCTATTACAGCCCTTACAACGTCAGCGGCTCTGGTTCCACCTCCGGCTCCCGGTCAGGTTCACGAACAGGGTCCAGATCAGGCTCCAGGCGAGGAAGTTTTGATGCCACCGGCTCCGGCTTCTCCGTCTCCTTCTCTTCCTCCTCCTACAGTTCCTCAAGTTATGGCCGCAGATACGCACCAGGCCCCAGCAGCAGCAGCAGCAGCGGTGCAGATGCAGCTGACCTCCGTGGCACCCTGGCCTATCCAGAGGGGAGCTGTGGGTCGAAAGGAAATTGTCCCCCTCTTGAACTGCCCGGGAAACAGCTGCCTGTGGCCTAAAGGGCCGTCCCTGCACCCTCTCCCTCCTCCCCTCCCCCCCCCCCTTCCCAAGCTGAGATAACATGGCCTTCCTTTCGCTCTGCATGTGATCGAGCTACCAGCTAATTCTACCAATATTTTTATTACTACTACTACTGTTGCTCTTTTTTAAAACACGGAGTTTCCTTCCAAAGCAGTGCCTAAACTTTAACCAAAAAGACTACACTAATATATTAATATATATGATGGTTCTGACAGTATTTGTATATTGAGAGAGAGAGAGAGAATGCGGGCGCATCAAGTGCTCCCCACGCCGCTTCAGGCCCCCTGAAACCTGCCCCTTTCCTCCCCACCCTGCCCTCACCCATGCCAGCCCACTGCCACCGCTTGGCCCCAAGCCTTTCAGCCCTCCTCCTCTTCTTCACTCGTCCTTGCTGTGGTGCCTCCAGATCACCTGCCTATGCAAAGGCAGTCTGTGCCTCCACGAGGGCCGGCTGGTGGGAGCATCTCCTGCACACCTGCCCTCCCGGCTCCCTCCACCAGGGCCTCGGCTGCTCTCTTCGCTGGCCTTCCACCGTGGGACGGGCACAAGACTCTCCTGGGCGCTGCTCCACTGACCTCCTGGCTGGCTGCCCTCCACACCTGGGCGACTCTGCGCTTGGACCGTAAGTGCAGGGATTCTGCTGTGCTGCTGCTGCCCCTCGGAGGAGCCCACCTACCCACCGCTGCCGCTCCTCCTCTGGCTCTCCTCCCCAGCTGCCTCTCTGCAGAGCCTGGCCCTCTTCTGGGCTCCACTCAACTCCTCCGTCTCCTGGGATGCTTGGCAGGGTGGGGGCTACTGCATGTGGCTGGCAGTCTTGGCTACGAAGCACCCTGGGCCAGACTAGCCTTGGTTGGGGGCAGCCTTCAGACCCACATCTCTGGGGTGCTGTCCCTGCAGGGGGGTGGCTGTAAGGTCTCCAGGAGGTTGGGCTGTGCCCCCCTCTGCTTTTTGGGGGGGAGGGGGGGTAGTGTGCTCCTGTGTGGCATGGATCTGGGGAGGGTCTTTGGATAAGCCGCTTGATGAAGGCTATGGATCCTCCCCCGGGATTTTGCTCCCTCTCATCCGGCTGCTCGTTCATAATGCCTGCTCTTTCTCTCAGACCGTTTCTTCTAGGCCCACCAAAGACGACCTCTTGACCCTGCGGGAACTCCTCAGCAGGTTCTCCGGAGCTAGCAAGTCCACTGTCGGCCGCCTGGGAGACCCGCATTGGTCGGCTCCTCAAGAGGTAACTGGGGCCCCAGGGCCCCTCCTGGGCTTGCCCACCCCCATGTTCCATTTCTGGAGAGCCCTGAAGGCCGTGAGAGCAGGAAGGAGGCCTTGCTACAGGCGGTCGCACCTGCCCAGGTGTCCCACCACCTACAAGGTCCCCTCCTGCTGCTCCTCTCGGGAGGGGAGGGAGAAGGGCAGCGGGGGGGGGGGGGGGGGGGGGTCAGCTATCCTCCCCACCCCCGCCTTGTTTGATAGCATCACCTCATTTGTGGTTCCTTCTGTCTCATCCCATCCTGTTTCTTTCTTGACTTTGTTTTAGTGTTGCTGGATGTCATCCCAACTCCTTCCCGGCTGCCGTGGATCTCGTGCCCCGGGTTGAGCCTCCCGCCACTTCCCTTTGCAGCCCACCAGCGTGGACTAGTTAGCAGTGGCCAGGAGAGGGCCGCTCCCTAAGGCTGACCCTTCCACCCATCACCAGCAAGCCAGCCACTCCTTGGGTGGGGCTATTCTTCACCCTGGAGTCCCAGGACTGTCCTGGCCAGGCCTGCCAGGCCTGGCTAGCAACCGTCCTTGTGCTGTCGGCAGGAGGCTGGCCTGGAAAGGCCGCGGTGGCCATGCCGAGAGCAGCCTCTGCCTGTCTCTGCCCTCCCCGCCCCCCAGCAGCCTCCAGCCCTCCCACCATCTCAGGAAGCCTGCATTGCCTGGTCTCTGCAGCCAGAGAGGGAGCCTTTCCACCCAGTGCCAGGGCCCTCTGTGCACAGACACCCCTCCCCCCATTCAGGTGGGAAAAGGCGTTCCTGCAGCGGCCCCTCCCCCGCCGCCCCTCCCCCCACCCCATCAGCCCCCCTCCCTCCTCCTCCAGCAGCTTCTTACTTGCGTCTGGATCCAGCCATCCCATCCCTGGCATTTGTCTCTCGTCCTCATTGCCAGCTGCTGTTTTGTTTTTGCATGCTGTGTTTACTTGGGGAAGCCCCTGTCCATTTCTCCCCACCCCCCACCCCCGCCTGCCGGGCGGCCTGTGCCCGGGGCTCACCTTGTTCCAGATTAGACTTTCCAGACTCCTCTCTAGCGGGTGGGGGCAGGAAAACACTACACCCTGACTTGTAAATAGCTTGAAGTGTTTGTAAAAACCTGCAGTAGAGCCCCTCGGCTGGGAGAGCAGTAAAGGCGATTTAATGAAACGGCTTTGTGTGGTTTGTTCCCCTCCCACTTCCTGGCCCTCTCTTGGCCCTGAGCCAGCTGCGCCGCGGGGTGGAACAGCCACAGTTGCAGTTGCACAGGAGCAGTTCCTGCAATGCGACCTGGGACGGCAGATGTGTTTGCACGCTTTTCAGGCAGAACATTTTACACTGGCATGAGATGCTAGGTCTCTGCCCTCCCCCTCCTCTTTGGAAAGTGCTCTGGGCACAGCTTCCTAAGGAGAGGGTCGCTTGGGGGTCTCACTGCTGGGAAAAGCAGGGCCTGGCCTCTTTGTGCTCTGCAATTCCCAGCCCTCTGGCCCCCCTCCCCTGCCCCCTCTTATGGCTCTCAGGCTTTTCAGAAGCCTCTCTTAGGGGCGGCAAAGGGGGGAGGGGGAGCCCCAAGGAAGAGAAAAGACGGGGATGAATGGCTTCTGTGTGTGCAGAAGGGAGGGGGCGCTAATCTCTTTGCAGAAGGCCGGAGGGGGAGGGGCGATTCTTGGCACAACTTTGACAGGGTTTAATTAGCTCCAAGGCGCGCTGAGTCTTGCTGGTTGCTAGAAGGTGCTCTGAGAAATGCTGCTGCTACCTGTCACCTGGACAAAGCACTTCCTGCTCAAAGGCCCGGGCTGCGAGTGGCAGCAGCTTTGGGTGGGGTTGGGCGTGTTTAGTCAAGTTAGCACAGGGCCACATCATGGCTGTGTTAGTTTCTTTGTGTGGGCGGGGAGGGGCTAACAAACAGCTAGACAAACCAGATTGTTGGTTCATGGCCGACCTCCAGAGAATCCATCCTGCGACCTGACCCAGGTGGCACCCAGCCGGTCTTAGGAAAGGAAGGGCGCCCCTCTTTCCCAGGAGCCCTGCTGCCCATGCATCGTGAAGTCGGCCTCTCCCGGCCAGGCGGAGGCCGTTAGTCGGGCTCTGCCCTAAGAAGGCTGAAGTTCTGGAAACGAAGCCAAAGAAAAAGGTTTTTAAAACCTGGAAGAGGCCCGACTCCATGGCTGGGAGTGGGAGATTCCTACAGTGGTGCTTAAAAGTCTGTTTTTGAATTTTCAGTATTTCTACGAAAAGGTCACCTAAAATGTGGTCCGTTTGCCATGCAAGTCTTAAGATAAAGAGAACCCAGTTAAATAAGTCAAAAGCATTTATTCAATTTTTATGCCGCCTACCTCAATAAAAGCAGGCAGCTCTTGGCCTGCTCCTCTGCTCTGAACAACTCCGGGATGTGGGTGGCCTTCCCTGCGTGGGGCTCCCTCCCACAGCATTCCCATGGAGGGAATGTCAGGAGTTCAGCCTTTGCTCCTTGGTTGTGTGAGTTGGGTGCTGTGGGCCACCGACTGCAGGACCCCCAGGGTCTCTGGAGCAGAATTCCCTTTGTGGACATTGTGGACAGAAGGCCCGAGCTTTGCTGGGGCAGCTCAGAATCCGTTCCTTCAAGCCCTCTTGACCCAGGGACGGCAAAGCAGATACCACCACAGCCACGTCTCACAGATGGACACGGTCCGTACACTGAATGCAGCGCTCGCCCTCTGCCAAGGTCTCGCTTTCCAGTCAGGCCCGAAGGTCCTATGTGGAGCTCCTCTACCCTCGGAACATCCTCCCTTCTGACTTGTCCAGAGGCTCTTTCACAAGACTCCACATGGGCAGCCATGTCCTACTTGGAGACTGGTGGCTTTCTGCTTGTGCTCTTGTCCAGGGGGCTCCTGAGAGGGTCTCGTGAACACTGACATTTGCCAATGCAAGAGAGACCTTGACTTGCTTGGAGGCTCCTTGACATCTCCTGAAGGATTGCTCTGGGGGTGACTGTGCTTGCTTGGTTGGTGGAGCACTCCCAGGAATTGGCTCGTTCGCACATGATCTGCCCAACAGCGAGTTGGTGAAGTCCCAACTCTTTGGAAATACTTTGGTAACGTTTTCCACCCTGGCGAGCATCATCAAATGCTTTTGGAAGTCCTCAGAAATCTCCTGTTAGTGCCACGCCCACATACCTCCCTCCTGAGGATCAGACTTTTGGTAGGAACACCCGGAATTTAAAGAATGTTGCTCTTTTATTTACACTCAAACCCGATTAGTTTTCCGTTGGTGGAACACTTGGCTCTAATTCCCCCTTCCATTGAACTGACCATCCTGGAGGTTCAGATACTTTCGCCATACACTACTAATAGGTAGCTTGGCATCATTTTTCTCAGTAGAACAAGTATAATGCTTTTGATTTATTGGTTTAATTTGCTTCTCTTTATCTATTTTTACCTCGTACCTATGTAGAACTGCTGAAAATCCAAAAGCGTTCACAAGCTTATAAGCACCACTGTAGTTCTTGGGGGTTTTCAGGCTGAAACACTGCTCACCCTTCTCTCCTGCCCCTGGCTGAGAGGTCCAAAGGAGACGGGGCCTAAAGGAAGGGCCTCCCCCCCCCCCCCGCAGGCTGTTGAGAGGAGGGTGCAGGGACAGGCACAGAAACCACCCCATGGGGCCTCCCTCAGCCAGGAAGAGGGTCGACAGGGGAGAAGTGCTCTGCAGAGAACGTCTTGGGAGCCCCAAAGGTGCTTTTGAAAAGGCATGAGCTGCCACATTCTGGACCAGGCGGTCTT